TATAATAGACAGACAGAAAATTTTTGGATATCAACAAGACAAGATCGAAATCCTCAGTCAATATCTTATTAAAGTTATTGCCCTTTAACGACGATTTTCCCATTTTTTGTCTTTTTGCCTATTATCTTGAAAACTATAAAAGATAGATGGAAACTTTAAATAGAAAAAATGATCAGCAAGACAAGAGCTACCAATAAATTAAACATGACCGAAATTGTTAGTCCTTATTGCAGTTATTGCCTTTAATGATGATTTTCCTCCATTTTTGGAATATTAAATATTCAACTGTTAAAGATACAAAGAAAACATTCAAAAGGAAAACAATAATCAGCAGGATAGCATCTACAATTACGTCAACATGAATTTGTCAGTTAACTCTTTAATAGAATAATTCCCGTTTAATGATGATTTTTACTAAAAAGCAACCATTATTGAAGATGCAGGTGAACGACACTGGCTTTTTGGAGCCTATATTCTCCTCCCTTTTGCTTATTTATGGGTTTTCTTTTAATTTATTTACCCTATTTTATTATTAAAAAAAAATACCATTTGCAATCTGATTCAAATGTAAGTGAATTTTGCAGCAAGTCCTCTGGCAACACCTGCTCCAACTACAACAACTACTCCGACGACATCAACTACTCCGATGACAACAACTACTCCGACGACAACAACTACGCCTACTACAACAACTACTCCAACCACAACAACTCCTTCGACAAACCTAGGTATAAAAAAGTGGAATCGTGGGAAATGTTGATGGAGTGTCCAATTATATTACAGAGCATCTTCTGCTATTCTTTTATCACCCCATCTCAATCATGAGACTTCTCTTTGGAAGTATTTGGTATTCAGGGAGTGCAGTACGGATTTCAACCATTAGTAAAACCATAACCACATAGTAGGCTATAAAAGGACCCGAAATGACAAATATAAACAATTCGTACTAGAAAACTCGCAGCCTGATTTATATACAATAAAACAATAAACGAAAAACAAATATGATATAGAGCAACAAGCCTCAATTACTGAATTACAGGCTCCTGATTTGCCACAGGAACATAAAGAATGTGGCAGGGCTTAACATGTTTGCTGGTGTCAAACCCTCCTCCTTACCTGAGACAGTGGTGTAACAGTACAACATTAGAACAAACTAAAAATCAGCTGAAAAGGGCTTAACTCATCAGATCGATACATAGAAGAAACACTAACAAAACAATACAAAAGACACAAAGTACTCACAGTGACTAAAAGCTAGTTCAAAGCTAAAAACAACTTTTAAACAAAATCATGTATCTAAGACTAAGCTTCATTATCTAGTTTGCATAATTTCAAATAGACCATTTTGATTTGATAGAAAGAATTTATTTTACTGACCTTAAAGTAAAACTGACTAAATATAATTAACCACCACATGGACTGCATGTGAATATAAAAGCTTAATACAACAGGTATATTTTGTTTAACATTTCTTCAACAGACATATTTTAGAATAAAGATATAGAAAACAATGTTAAATAAATATTTGAATTGTGTATGAAAAGGGTAGCTTTTTGTTCAAGCCGTAACAGACATTTCTTGATGCAACCACTTATGTTACTTGTTTTTTTTTTTTTTAAATATTACAGTTGTCTTTGATTTTAATCATCAATATCTCATTCAACTCACGCGCGTTGTTTTCCTATACAGCTTCAAATACTTAACATAACTTTTAGTATGATCGAACCCGTTGAAAACAAGCAAACATCTGAATGAATATAAATACATCTGTTATTCTACAATGAATCTTTCTTGTGAACATAAGCATCATTTATTAATTAGGAATTCCAATTTTGTAGCAATTTATAAAATACAAATCACGGTCACTTATCGAAATGTGGTAAACAAAACGAATACCAGAATGGTAATTTGATAGAATATGTCAGAGAGTTTTTTCCTTATGAAAATTTTGAATTTTCGGTTTTGGATGCTCTTATCCGTCGTTTACGATTTGGCCTTCTAAATGTGTTGATTCAAGTCAATTGTTGACGAAACGCCCTCTGACGTACCAAATTTTAATAAAAATAACATATAATGGACCCTTGCCTAAGCAATTTGCATATATCAGTTGATAACGCGCCTCTGGCGTACTATGTTATACGGTCACTGTTATGAATTGTTTGCAAATCCCAGTTTCTATATTCATTACATAAAAGCTTTCTCGTAGTTCCACTGGCAGTTATTTACGGTTTTATCGTTAAACTAACTGTCATAGTCAGTATGGACTGTGACTTTAAATTCATGTGACCGGTGTTGCTTGCACTGCAGATGATACTATCTAATTTGATACACCAGGTATTACTCCGTTTCGGGTTCATGTCATTCCATTCATTCTAACTCTCATGCTTGTCTATTGTATATCGTGACATTCCAGAAACCTATTGAACATGTATTTCCTAATTTTATATTATCAAGATCCGATTTAAAAAATAAACGTTTTTGTCGGGTTTAATTTAACTACAGTGCTACAGCGATATGATTATAAAACAATACACAATCCTGTCATATTCTCAAATACTATTTCATCTTTCGGTCTTGATACATATTTTTATTTTGTTTTTACAGAGTATTCGATTTTCGAGTGTTCTGCAGAGATTGATCAAACATGTATGTTTGTTCAATCCTCTGATGATACATTTAATTGGGAAAAAGAATCAGTGAGTAAATATATCAGTATGGTTTTAAATGTTGTTCGTGTATATGGATAAAAGTCTTTGTTGTTGATAAAACAATCAAACATTATATCAAGAATTCCTCGTTAAAGATAGGCAAATACGTTTATTATATAATAGCTAGACAATGGAAAACTAGCAGCTGTTATGGATGTTTATCAAAGAACCAACTGATGAGATTACTGTCTCTCGTGTCAAGATTTTGATGAATTTATCTGTAAATCGATTGATTTATCTTGATTTTTCTTCTGAATCATCTACAGTTCTGACTCACTGCTTGTCACGAACGACACGAAGTAAAGATTGTATCAGGCTAGCGGGGGAATAAAAACAAACAAAAACGTCTACAGAGCTTCATAAAAAAAGGAAAGAAAGTTTAATCCATGTGTCATTAATGGGTCGATTCTTAAGGAATACATAGCATGGGTAAGATGAATCACTAAAAATATAAGACAGTACAATAGACCACACCAACAACTAAGAACCGACTCCACTGAGAAAAATTGACATACAAATAAAGACAACCAACAACGAACAACACATGGTTCAGAGATTCTTACTTGGTACAGTCACAAACAGTTGAGCGGTTAAATCCAGATCCCTATTTCCAAGACCAGATGTGATAAAAAATAACACACAGCAAAAACCTTGCACAGATCAGTGACATAAAGAATGACCACTAACTTGAGCAAGAAAATAAAATAAAATGATTTGGAAAGCAGGGTTAAAATGTGTTTGGTACTACAAGAGTTTCAGCTGTTGGTTTAATACTTTAGCTCACGAAAATGAAAGATTCAGAAACACTACTTACAGCTTATATGAAGTATCCGCATGAATAAAATTTCTCTGTTTTCATTTTGTTTTTTTAGTCCTTGGTTGATAATAGCTTTATTGGCAGTCGTGTGCCATTTCATTGAATCCATTTTTGAATAAATCAAACCTTTACATGCAAAATATTTCGATGTTTACTTAGAAATATTTTATGGAATTATTGTTTTTATCTTTGAATTACGTTCATTTTATTAAAGTACAACATCAAGTGTATATAAGTTTTACAAAAGTTTCAGGGAAATCGATAAACAATGAATGGAAAATATCAACAATTCGTGCGTATTTTGGAATGGTCAGCTATCAACATGAACTCCGAAATGCTATAGACATGTTATCCCGATATGAATATAGATATAGATAAAAAGAAGACACGCATGGAATCGATGTTCTTATTTTTTTTGCTCAATCTTATATCATTGACAAAAATGTAAACGATCGTTTTACCTATATTAGAATGAGTTTTTGCGTGCCTTAACCGGAAAAGAAATCAATCTGCCTGTCGCTTTTTCTCTTTTTTATGTGACATTACACAAAATTAAAATGCTGAGTCCATAAGCAATCAGGGACCTCGGTGGCCGAGTGAGGCTGTGAGTTCGATCCCGCCTCATTTTTCCTACTGAAGGTCGATGGTTCTCTCCTGGAACACCAGCTTCCTCCACCAATAAAAACTGACCGCCACGAAATATATATCAGTTAAGTATATGAGCTGCATTTTTTACCAAATTTAACTAAACGCACTAATTATGATGTTCAGTAGTTGTCGTTTGTTGATTTGGTCCATAAGTGTTTCTCGTTTTTTATATAGATTAGACCGTTGGTTTTCCCGTTTGAATGGTTTTACACTAGTAATTTTTTGGGCCCTTTATAGCTTGCTGTCCGGTGTGAGCCAAGGCTCCGTGTTGAAGACCGTACTTTGACCTATTATGTTTTACTTTTATAAATTTTATCTTGGATGGAGAGTTGTCGCATTGGCACTCATACCAAATCTACATATATCTAATTAGAGCGAATTACTAGATACTAGTAATATTATGTGCCTTGAAAAATTTTGAATAACACTTAATAAATGTGTATGCATCCGGAGCACTTTTGGGGATTTACTTCCATCTGGAACGCTTGAGATCAAATATTGAAAAGCCCGAACATATTTTTCTTTCAACTTAAACAGTCAAAATCGTAGTTTATGTCCATTTAGTGGTCGGATGCATGGTTCATTGACAATTTTCAAATGACTCATTCTGGAAATATTTTTTTATGTTGACCTAATCTGTGTTGCTGTAATTGTAAAATTCCTATTTGAAAACTCCATACGCATATTTTACTTCTAGGTCACTGCATTTATGAAACAGACATTTTGAGTAATTTAGTGAAACGTGGAGTTTCCTACCATGAAATTGATGTTATCGCTTTCACGGGCGTGTTTTTTTTTTCTAGTTTAAAAACGTTCAATTTTTTTAGGGTCCAGCTCCATATTATGAATATAGTGGAATAACGGGTGTGACTGGTCCTGGTGGTGCAAAAGAGGGATCTGTATATTTCTATACAAAGACTTATCCAGATCGGAATCCGGGCGACGTTGCAGTTATGTTTACTGATATAGATTTTCAAAGTGAGAGAACTTAAAACGTTGATGTTTTCTTTGTTAACTTGTTTGTTGACAGGTAGATTATCGTTGAAATACAGAAACCACTGAAATTGTTATCTCTTAAGATATACTATACACAAATTACAGTCATATTTTGATAATTTTGAAGAGTTAACGTCATTAAGTAACACCCGGCGTGCTACGACAAATAAAAATCCGTTAATAAGTCATGTATCGAAAAATGAACGGGATAATTGCTACGACAAATTGAACATAACTGTGGGAATCTGCGACACAAATGTTCTATATATAACGGACAATCAAATCATGAATGCGTCCGCAAAACTTTCGACGGGAACTTTAAATAGTTAAATAGCTTCAGTGTATGAAAGGTGATCCCTGTAATATTGCATTAACAAGGAAATAACTCGGTGCTATAGAAATGTTGCTATATATAAAACTGTTCACAAGGAAATAACTCCAGATGAAGGTGCTGTAGAAATGTTGCTACGTCTCTATGGTTTGTAAGTTTAGTTCTCAATCGATCACCTTTGTCAATTTCTAGGTGTAGGTCAATATATGAAACAACTATTGACCTATCCATATCTGTGGTGTCCTTTATTTCAAATCAGATTCGATAGATGCGAACAACATAGTTACCAGACTTTTTTAAGTGAGAGAACATCACCTGTATATCGGAACATAGATTTAAAAAGATAATGCTAGCTTTGTATCAGTCTCATTGAGAAGTTTCTGAATGAGGTCTGGCCTATACTGAAAAGGTAACAAGTTGATAATAAAAGAAACATGGTATGCTTATGGTAAAAATCTTTAGGATATATGCTGTCAAAAGATTTTGTGTAGCTCTTACCGTTTTGAGTATAACAAAACGTAAATATTTTGCCACATATGCTACGCATTTTCATCTTTGGATTTTCTTTATTAGGACGCACATAGCCAAACGATTTTAATAACCAAACAATGAACAAATGCACCTTCCTTCTACGTAATATTATCAAAAAGGGAAACTTAGAATAATGAAATTTATCTAAAATTGAATATTTGATTCACTGATTAGTATAAAGGTCTTTAAACAAATCCAAAAATAACCGAAATCCGCTCGAATCTGGTGTATCCGAAACTGTTTGAATAGTATGAGTACTATTTGTTTATGTATTATTATTTCCAAGAATCTTAAGAATTTTTTAGAATTGAGTTTTTTCATTCGTTTACAATGCACTTTTTGACTTTTTGTTTGATAGAGGTCGAGAGATGTTTCTCTTTCTGGTATCATATGCGCAGTTATTATGCCGCACATATGGGAACACTAGAGATTTCTATGACAGATGGTAGTGGTAGTGAAACGATATTGTTTAGCCGAACGGGTAATCAGGGCAATGAATGGTTACAAGAAAAATTAGAAATACCAGCTGTAGATGATTTGAAGGTAAGTATAATTTTACTTCTTTCTCAGTTTGAAAGATGTGTTATGTATATGCCTAAAATTGAAAATAAGGAGATGTGGTATATGACTGCTTGTGAGACAACTATCCACCAAACACCGAAGGACAAAGAAGGATGGAAACAACTATATGTCGCCGTTACACTGTATACTATGATACAAAAGGCTCGAATTATGACAAAGCAATAAAAACAAATATGACAGAAAGCAACCAACGACAACCACCGAGCTACAGGCTCATGACTTGGGATAGACACATAAAGGATGTGCCTAAAAAAGTAAAATAATAACTCCTCCAAAAAAAGTAAAATAACAAAAATACCGAACTCCAAGGAAAATTCAAAACGGAAAGGCACTTATCAAATGGCAAAATTAAAAGCTCAAACACATCAAACGAATGGAAAACAACTGTCATATTCCTGACTTGGTACAGACATTTTTTTTATGTAGAAAATGGTGGATTAAACCTGGTTTTAAAGATAGCTAAACCTCTCACTTGTATGACGGTCGCATATAATTCCATTATATTGACAACAATTTGTGAACAAAACAAACAGAAAATATAGGAAAAAAATGTCAAAAATAGGGGTACAGCAGTCAACATTGTGTTATAGTCTTAATCACCATAAAACAAACAAATATGTCAACAAAACAAAAAACTAAAAGACATATAGACATAGCGCATAAGCAAAAATGAAAGAACAAAAAAAAAACATAGACAGCTTTTCACGAAAACCGACGGACAAGGCAGATGGAAACCATTACATGTCGCTGTTTCATTGTAGAGAATGATACAAAAAGCTGTATTTATGACAAAACAATAAAAATAAATATAATAGAAAGTAACCAACGACAACCACTGAGTTTTTGGCAATTACTTTAAAGTTAATATTTTTGCGAAAATTGCGACGGCAAAGGTTAAAGCAAAATTTCCATATAGATAGCATCATTTACATTATTTGCTGAAATCATGAAAATTAATTTGGCATTTTTGTCTATTCTTCAACATTGCAATGATTATGGCGCGCATATTTTTCTGAATTTAAAGTATCTTGAATGCAATTAAAGAAACTGTAAACAAAAAAAATTATCAGCTAACCAAAATCTACAAATACTTTATAAAAACCGACCCCTTAGCAATTATTACCCTTATAGGGCCTTTTTATTATCTTGATTTTTCTTCTTTTTTCAAATTATCAAAGTAGGTAAACGCTCGGAATACCAATGAGATAAGCAAGACAAGATTTACAAATATAAGTTAAAGGAACACAATTATCAATGGACTCCCGTGACCTTAGTTATTTCCCTTAAAAGACGATTTTATCCAATTTTCAGAGGTCTTAATAACATAAATAGAAACAGAGAGTCTTTAGACAGCAACAACTATCAGTAAGGCCAATCTGCAAATAAGTCAGCATGACCGATGTTATCCCTAAAGGAATGTGTTTCCAAATGATTTTCAAAGAGGAGCAAACCTAGTAACAATCTTACTGAGCGATTTTAATATGCAAATCCTGTCTAAGGTTTAAATGTTGTTTATTGCTTGCTAAATGAGCGATTCAAGCTCCTTAAAGTCTGTAGTTTCTATCTTCATTTAGAGTTTTTTTCTCCTATTTCTTGTGATTGAAGACTCGATACCACAGCCATAGTATAAACATATTACGTAATTATTGTTTCATACAGATTATAGTTAAAGGAATCTCAGGAACTGGTTGGATGTCAGATATGGCTGTTGATGGTATATCATTGGTTCCTGGTACCTGTGGTTAGTATGATTAGGAAAAAAAAACTTGTAATTTGTAAAGCTCATCTTGAGTACATAAATCAAGAGAAAATGGCATACATCCATCAGAGCTAGACCAAGTCCACAATAATCGTATCTAGATTAAATTTGTTAGATTTATCTCAGGTTTAATATGTTTGAAACTAGATATAGAGTATAGAATTGGAAATGACAAATATAAGGCTGGCAAACTCGTTAATGTGCCTGTAATGTCATTATCAGGTTAATTTTTTCTCATATGCATTTGACATAGGTAAGTGTTTCAAGATATACGTCTTTCCATATTTGTTTTATAAAGTTTGGTATTTGTACCTTAAAATGTTTGTAAGTTTCGTTCTGATTGGTCGATTTCTACAGGTCCTTTGACATAATAATTTGTTTGAAAATTTTCAGCACTTTGTTTCAATCTATAAATTATAAAATTGAGAATGGAAATGGGGAATATGTCAAAGAGACAACAACCCGACCAAAGAGCAGACAACAACCGAATGCCACCAATAGGTCTTCAACGCAGCGAGAAATTCCCGCACCCGGAGGTGGTCCTCAACCGGCCCCTAAATAAAATTGTGTACTAGTTCAGTGAAAATGGACGTCACACTAAACTCTTAAACATATAAATGAACTAGAATTAAAAAAGCATACAAGACTAACAAAGGCCCGAGTCTCCTGACTTGGTCAGGCGCAAAAATGCGGCGGGGTTAAACATGTTTTGTGAGATCTCAACCATCCACCTATACCTCTAGCCAATGTAGAATAAAGAAACACATAGCAATACGCACAGTAAAACTCAGTTTAAAAGAAGTCCGAGTCCGATGTCAGAATAGGTAACAAAAGAAACTAAGCCAAACGACAATGATACATAAATTAACAAAGGACTACTAGCAGTTACTAACATGCCAGCTCCAGACCTCAATTAAACTGATTGAAAGATTATGTCTTCATCATATGAAATTCAAGTACAATCCCTCCCGTTAGGGGTTTAGTATCATACCATCATAAAATATATGAGAAAAACATAACCCGTATCATGCCAACAACTGGTTTTAAAATAAATGTGTGTATTTCCGATGCAAATACCCTATGAGTGAATCAATATTAATACATAAATATGCAATCCTTAATGACCTGACAACAGTATCGTAACTATATCCCTTCCGAATAAGTCTGTTTAAAGGTTTGGTTAGCTTTTGAGGTGAATGCTGACATTTTTGTGCTTTGTAAAGAATATTACCATAAAATATTGGATGTGAAATACCTGAACGTATAAGATGTCTGCATGTTGAGTTATATGTACGAATGATGTCCTTGTACCGATGATAAAATTTAGTAAATGTTTTGACTAGTTTATGATATCGGAAACCCTGGTGTTATAATTTTTCAGTAATACAGAGATTTCTTTCGTTGAAATCAAATATGTTGTTACATACACGAGCGAATCGAACAAGTTGAGATATATAAACACCATAAGATGGTGACAAGGGAACGTCACCATCTAAAAATGGATAATTAACAATAGGAAATGAAAAATCATCTCTTTTATCATAAATTTTGGTATTAAGCTTCCCGTTAAAGATATAAATACCAAGATCCAGGGAAAGGGCAGTGTTCATTGTTGGTATTAGCTTTATTTAGAGTCAGTTCGTCAGGATAAATCTCTTTAGTGTACATACTGAAGTCGTCATTATTGACAGCCAATATAACATCAACCTGACGATATACGGAATCTCTATAGCGAACAAAAATATTATCTAGTAAAAATTCAAGGGCAGTTATAGTCTCAAAGCAGGTCCAATTGACATAGTTCTTTCGTTAGCCTTCAAAAATTACAAATAATGTTACCCACACTTTTGTCTGAAAATTCCCCCGTCTTTCTTTTCCGCACAATCAAATTATTTTCTCATTGTAATGTGTCAACTCGTCCAATGTGTCAACCGACAAAGGGGAATCGTATTGCATATTAAATACCTTTAGACTGCTAGGTCATATTAAAATGGTTTTTTCAAGTAAAATCTTTTTTCGCACCAATGTGAACTTTTGCCATCACTTGGCGTCCATCGTCGTCCGTCGTCCGTTAACTTTTACAAAGATGATCTCCTCTGAAACTACTAGACCAAATTGAACCAAACTTGACCACAATCATCAATGGGGTATTTAGTTTTACAAAAAAATTGTGTCCGATGACCCAGCTTGCCAACAAACAGAACATAGGGGTAAGATACAATTTTTGTCTATTATCTTGAAAAACGCTACCGATAAAGAAAATCTGATGAATCAAAAACGTTCAGAGTGATAAGGTCTCCATATTGTCTATGAAATCAAACATGTCAGACAACTTCTTATAGGAGTTATTGGCCTTAAACGAGATTTTTTCCATTTTTTTGTTTTCATTTATTCCTTTTATCTAAATAGACAGAAACTTTGAATTTCAAAAATTATCAACAAGACTAGATCTACAAATAAGTCAACATGATCGAAATCCTAAGTTAATATCTTATTTAAGTTGAGTGTCGGTTGGTGGTTTAATGGATAAGATCGATGTCTACAGTGCTGGAGGGTCCGATTCGATTCTGACTCGGGGCGCTGGAAATGTCAGTACATTAAAGGGGTGCTTTTCACCCTCCCACACACATCTCAGCTACAAAGACCGGAGTTTAGATTAGAATGGGTACTTTGGGGGCCTCTTGATGGCCTCTTGGGGGCCTCGGATCACCAGGTTATGTATATCTCTTCGGTTTGTCGGTTTTCGTCGAGTTGCCCGATGGTTCTCTCCGAATACTCTAGCTTCCTCCACCATAATAACAGACTTCCTGGTGTCCTAGCACTCCCATGATGTTGGGTTGGGGATTTGTCCTTGGTGGTGGGTTGTACATAAGTTATTCATACATCTCCTCAATCCTGTAACGGAGTGTACATTGATACATTGTATCGTTGCAGCTTTCGAGGGGAGCTCCGAATAACGGAGTTATTAACCAGTATTTGCCATTTAAAGACGATGTTCCCATTTTTTTTCATTTTTGCCTATTATCTTGAAAACTATAATATATAGATGGAAACTTGAAATAGAAAAGATTATCAACAATACAAGATCTTCCAATAAATTAGCATGACCGAAATCGTTAGCCGACTCCTGACTAAAGTCACTGCCCTTTAATGACGATGTATCTTATTTTTTTTGGCATTTTCACTATTATCTTGAAAACTGTAATAGATACATAGAAACCTTAAAAAGGAAAGAAAATTCAGCAGGATATCATCTACAAACGCGTCAACATGACTGAATTTGTCAGTTAACTCTTAATAGAATTATTCCCGTTTAATGATGAATCTTACTAAAAGTTAGTCATTGTTATAAGATGCAGGTGAACGACACAGGTTCTTTAGATCCTCTAGTTTCTTTCCTTTTTGCTTATGTGGGCTTTTCTTTCAATTCATTTAACAGATTTTATAATTAGAAAAATACTATTTGCAATCTCATTTAAAGACATATTAAACTTCAAATTTAAAACGAACAGATGAATATGTTTTATATACTTGAATTACTAAGTTTAACAATAAATCAAGTGCACTTGTAAAGTAAATCCTTTATATTAACAAAATCTTCATAAATGTACTGCTATTGAATTAATGTCTTCCCTTACACTAATTCGTCGATATTTTGGCGTATGCAGTGACCTAGCTACGAGACGTCTCGTTAGAACTTCGGGCACCACACAGCGCAAGTGCGAGAAAAAACCGTGATTAAAGAATGTAAACAAACGTGCTCAGGAACGTAAATAGTAATAACTGATTCTTAAATTTAATACAACAAATCTTTTAACAACTGTTAAGAAACAGTTTAATTAACAAATAGGAACGTATGGAAAATATGGAAAATAAAATCTTGGCTCTATCAATTCACTTCTTTGTCATGTGCTCCACGTGATTTGTGTTGATTGTTTATCGATGTCACTATCCGTTTAACACGGCAACAAACTCAAAAGTTAATAAGTTTACGATCAACAATCACTGAATGAAATGGTATTTGTCGATAATACATTATATACTCGTAATAAATATAACAAACGTGCATACATGACTTAGTTCGGTATATATCCATGCATTTCGATATCATTAAAATTACAAAAACTCTTTCATATGACTTTTAATGAATGTGAATTTTGCAGCAAGTCCTCTGGCAGCACCCGCTCGAACCACAACAGCTACTCTAACCACAACAACTACTCTAGCCACAACAACTACTCCGACAACAACAACTTCTCCAACCACAACAACTACTCCGACCACAACAACTACTCCAACCACAACAACAACGCCAACTACAACAACTACTCCGACGACAACTACGCCTACTACAACAACTACTCCGACGACAACAACAACTCCTACGACAAACCTAGGTATATAAACGAGTGGAATCGATGGAAATGTGAATGAATTGTCCAATTATATTACTAAGCATCTTCTGCTATTCTTGTATCACCCCTACTCAATCATGAGACGATTGTAATAATGATAGATCACATAGAACGTATGCAGCCTTTTTCTCTTTGGACGTATTTAATATTCAGGGAGTACTGTTTAACTAGACGACACGAATATCTGCAAGTAGATTATCGTCAGTTTGGTTTGTAAATAAAAAGTGTACCCACCGGCAGTTCTCATCTGCTTTCTATTGTATTAATTGACTTTGAGCACAATACTTTACTTATTCATATGAAGGAAATGACAAATGCCCGGTTAAAGATGTAAATTATTGATTGAGCTAAGCATTCGTTGCCAAACGGTTGCTTCATTAAATGCTGTTTTTTCACAAAAAGCTGATACAGATTTTATCTCTGCCTTTTTCTCTTCAGTTATTGAATGTGGCTTTGAACAAGGACAAACATGTGCGTTCGAAAATATTGAAAATCCTGATATAGAAGACTTCGATTGGACTCTAGATCAATCAGTAAGTTTTATTTCAAAACAAATGAAAATTACTTTTTTAACTACACTTGTATTACTTATTGCTGCTAATTTAATTATATGTGTTGTCGTCGTCGTTGTGTTATTTTTGTGCGACAACTTCTAACTTTAGATAAAATTGGCCATTCCTCAAACATGTAGGGATCATTTGATCATAATATGATAACATCATTGACTAATGGAATTCTTGTCCAACATGATTTGAAAAGTGATAAAAATAGTGCATGAAAGAGTTGAAGTCAACTCATCTGGATTTTTATTTATCCCGCTTTTCTTTTTTTTTCTTTTAAAAGAAGTAACTTTCTTGCTCAGAATACAGTAAATACGAATAGTTAGAAATGAACGGTGTATGTCGATGAGGCAGAAATCAAACGAACCAAACAAAACCAATATAAAGCGCTTGTACAATTTTTCCAAAAATAATTATACCTTTGATCAAAGATTTCTAAATGTTTCAATTTGACTTGATATTAAAAACACCTTAAAATAGTAGTTGATGGTAAGTTTGATTATAATGCCAAAGACATGTATCTTTTAAATATTTTCCTGCAAGTACAATGATATCGGTAGATTTCAAATGGTTTTTCGAATTGTGTACATAATGCGAAAATGGACCAAATGATTTACCACAATGGTTGTCTATATGAATAACTGTTATATACACCTCTGTTCTGAGAATATTCTTTGCGGTGCACGCGCTCGATGTTTTTTGGCTTACCGATATATTTCAAAACAAAGAATAATTTTGAAGGAAAGCAATTTAAATACTTTTTAAACTTTACAATCTAAGTTCAAATTCATATTTAAAAATCTAACAATCGTGTTTTTTTCTCATACATGTACTATCGGTCTCAATCTCGTTGCCAGCTATTATAGCATAAGGTTCTACAATAAGACATTGTCTCGTACAGCTAAAGGCATACATTGAACACAGAAATAAAACTCACTATTAGACGTAGTAAAGTTAAAAAAAGTGCAATCAAGTTGGTATCAAAATAAGATAATGAACAAAGTATTGTGATAAAGCAATCACTGAAATGTTTTCTAGTGTCGAACAAATAATCGTGTGAACCACACATCAAAGAGGGAACTGCAAAACATGACAATAAAACAACACATTCGGATTTTATTTTATATTATAACTACTAGATTTGAACGACAAATATGTCATTGTAATACAGGGCTCAACATCTACCAAAAGAACTGGTCCTGCGGCTGCACACAGTGGTGACAAATATGCCTATATTGAGGTTAATAGTCAAGAGTCCGGCGATATTGCAATTTTGTCCTCAACTTATACTGACCTGACCTGTAAGTATTAAAGATATTTATCAATTGTGGACTTTTGACGAGGTCAATACGTTATATATGGCCCTGTTCAGATTATATTGACTGAGGTTCAATATAATCTAACAGGTCCATATATAATGTATTGCCTGAGTGAAAGTCGTTAGTTTATATATTACATATGTAAATAGTATATTATGGATATGGACTTCAATGTTCTTTCTGTGTATTTTTCATTGTGTTTTGCAAGTTTCTTAATATTGACCGTCACTATATATATATATATACATATCAAAAGAAACAAAGCGTTTTGCAAGATTTTTTTGTTTAATATTGAATGTCACTATGTATATAAATAAATAGAAACAAAGCGTTTTGCAAGATTTTTGATATTGACCGTCAATATAATCATAAATAGAAACAAATCGTCCATATACTTAAATATCCTTCGAAAGACATGATCGTAATATCCAATGAAAAAAGAAGAATGCTACACCAAACGTAATCAAATTAGTTTATTGCAAACCAGAATCAATACAGCTTATAGGTATATCACAAATATATACATGTATATCATAACAGAACATTATAAATACAATCGGAGGCAATACTACAAAGTATATATCATTCAAAGAATTGTCCTGAAAATTTTATATATGTGGCGTATTTGGAATATTTTCCTTAATTAGACAATTCCTTTACATTTTTTGTTGAAAATAACTGAACTAATTTAAAAACAAATGCATTTGTTTAATAATACCTTTAAATAAACAATTTTCTTATATTGTCATATTTTAGACATTTTTGAATAAAATGAACTTCATGCTCAATATCACCATAGTTACATAAAATGCATAATCTTTCATTTATTGCTCTATTTATGAATCTACCTTATTCAATATTTAGCTTGTGTAATTTATACTTAGTTAAAAATCTAATACATTGTGGAGATAAGATTTGGGAAATAAAACTGAAATTGAAAAAAACAAATATTTCTTTCTTGAAGAAAATGGTTAATAAAACCTTTGTTTGAATAATTTTTAAAATATGTCTTCGCATACAATATTCTGGGCATACCAAACATGCCCAAAACCTAAGCTAAGTAACATACATCTAACATAATTAACCCATGATGACTTATTTTCTGATTCACCCTCATCATATATATCCGTAATAGACATAGTTTGGACATTTTTATAGCAATTCAAAATTACTACCTATCACCTTTAGCATGACAATTACAATAAAATTTGAATAAAAATTGATAGACTGATTTTTCATAACATCATTGAAGTGGAATTAAACCAATGTCGTGACGTCAGCCTATTCATTTATCGTGGATTCTTTTTCTAGAATCAACGCTTCCTAAATCTGTCGCTGAAATGGACTCACCAAATTATATTCAATTGTTTCCTTTGTGTGCCTTATTTCATTTAGAATATAGCAAAGTGCTCTCGACCAATCAAAGTAAAGAATTTGGTGTTCCTTTATTGTGAAGAATGAATGTAAACATGCTCTTAGTAAGGGATTATCCTATTGTTTAGGCCTATTTACAGTTCAAAACAAAGAATTTATATAAATGAGTCACAACTGCTCGAAGCACATTTATCAAATTGACAGGATTATTAATTGAAAGTTGAATTTTGAAAAAAAAAAAAAAAAAAAAAAAAATTAGTTCGAAGATTACGTATGCAGTATAATTGGTATCGTTTATGTTATTATGTGAATATTTAGAACTTCAAAATTACAAACAAATGTAAGCAATATCAAAGCAACGTGAAAAGAAGAAAAAGAAAAAAGAATTCTAAAATTAAATTTAACCATAGTCTTTAGCTGATACGCTTACCAAAATCAGATTACTGTATCCGCAGTAAGTAGGAATAGTCATTTCCAATATACCGGTACATACATGAAATCGAACAACAAATGTAACTTTTGAATTTCTTAAAAAAAAACATTTTCTTTTAATTGTTAAATTTTAGTTAATCAAGTCACTACAAACCAGTAAAAGTCTGAAATGGCCTATATCTGTACTCGACTGTACTGATTTTTACTCGACCAGTCTGAATTGGTCTGAAATTTACTTGATAATACTCGACTGTAGTCTGAACCATACTTAACAGTCTGAACTTGTACTCGACCAGTACTTAACCATTTTATACACGTCTGAACCATGCTCGACCTAGTCTGAACCATACTCGACCTAGTCTGAACCATACTCGACCAAGTCTTAACCAACCTAGACCTATTTTTTGTATTTATCTTTTGTATTTCATCAATTTAGGAACTGTTTTTAACAACAGCTATTTCCCCTGGCTAGAAATTTGAACAAAAATTTGAAATTAAAAATGCATTCAATATAGCATTGAAACCAAAATTTCACAATAAACATAATATAACTTCAACACCATATTCATCAACACTTATATACATACATATATATCACCTTTAAAATAAAAATAAAACAAGCTGATCAAATAATCTCAAAACTGAATTGTGACTAATATTTTCAATGTTATTCAAAAATTTTTGAATGTTTCAGATATATTTTATGGTTACTGGACAATTTTCATCACTAACTTAAGCCTAGTATAGATTTATGGTGTCAGTTGAGTTTAGTAAATAATGCAGTGAACATTTTTTTTTATTAAAATATATATAAAATAGCATATAAAGCAACTTGATAAATTTAAAAAAATGACACCTTTGTTTTGTTAAACCAAGAATTTAATATAATCATGATAATAGAACTTCCATAGTAATCCTGTGATAAACTTTTAAAAAAGGAAATGTGTTCCAAAGTTACAGTAAAAATTTATTTCAATTAAATTTAAATAATTTTTGTCAAAATTAAAGACATGGCATGCAAGAAGCACTTTAATAAGGTTTAATTACCTCAGTACATGTATGTTTTACAGGTAAAAAGAAAGCCCTATTTTTCTTAAACTCGTGTATTACTTATCTAGTGAATTCATAAAGGCCTTGTGATTTAAGTTTCACAGGATGTTGCAATTTTGAATGAATGTTATTTAGAATTTAATACTCTCTGACCAGGTGTGATCTTTTTCATGAGTTTGCCCCAAGCAGGAGGTATTACTTTATACTTCACCACTAATCAGAAGAACAATTTTATTAATTTCTTTAATTTTTATCCCTTTTTGATATATATTGTATATAATATATCCCAAATTATAATAATAGATATATTTCTAAAATAAGGTAAAACAGTTTTAGTGATTTTGTTGGCTGTTGTTACCTCATTAAAAAGATAATTATATAACTATTGTACATTTTTTGTATGTAACCATGAAACCTATGTAGTTTTTATTTAGGAATTTAGGAAAATTAATTAAAAAAAAATCATGCCAAACAAGAAGCACCTTAATAAGGTTTAATTACCCTCAGTATAGGTGTGGTTTTTAGGTAAAAGAAAATCTTTTTTTAACAAAACTCTAAAACTTTAAAATTAATATATTTAAATTATTACATAAGATAATTTGATTTAACTATCTCTATTTGAAAAATCTGAGAATCATGTAAGAATGTAAAAATCTGTTTCTATAATATATCTTTATTTTATTGTGGCTGTTGTCATGTCAATTAAAAAGAAATTTAATTTAACAGTTAAAATTTAGAAAAAGTAGAGGTTATTTGGTCAAGTATGGTTCAGATTGGTCGAGTATTGTTCAGACCTTTGGTCGAGTATGGTTTAGACTGAAAAAAATAGGTCGAGAATGGGTTAAGACTGTTTCAGACTGGTCGAGTAATAGTTCAGACTATTTTCAATGGCAAAGATAAGGGTCAAGTACAAATCAGTACAGTCGAGTATGGTTAAGACTGGGGTCGAGTAATGTCGAGTAAAATTCAGACCAATTCAGACTGGTCGAGTAAAAATCAGTACAGTCGAGTACAGATATAGGCCATTTCAGACTTTTACTGGTTTGTAGTGAGTAGTATTTGGTGTAAAAAGCGGGAATAAAATTGGTTGTGGAACTCTGATTTTGAATTTATAATTTGAACTGTAAATAAACAAAAAGATAATTCCCCATTAAATTATTACATAATTTACTCATACTCACAATTAAGAAACTTATACAAAATTTCTACCATTTCATTGTACCGCTGTGTCAACTAATGTCTAAAACACAATTTATTAGAATTTCACAAACTAAAAGTAAGACCTCACATCACTTAGACTAATATATAAATGATATACCTACAAAGGGAGTCATCCATTAATTATAAACATTGCACTGACAATGAAACAAACGCTAACGCTCGTACTTAATCATGAAGAAAGGGATTATCATTCTCTAACAGATACTAACTTTGAATTGGCTAATTTACTGATTTCTGTTCACAAATGGAATTAATTTTAAAACTTACCTTTAACTTTTGTAATTTCTTCACTTGCAATCGAACCTCTCCTTGAAATCTGTTATGTGTGACGAATATCAACACATCGACGAAACCTCTCTGCTACCAATGGGTTGCGATTTAGATGTCTATTTTATATATATATATGAACATATGATACACATCGGTACAACGGACACACAGGGTTTGTACCTTTATATATACGAAATAGACAATCGTATAGTATAAGATGGTAGCCGCGAGGTTAAGATCCATGAGTTATAGAGCTAAGTTAGAAGTAGAGAATTGTCGGTTAAGGTTCGAATCCCTGTTTTCTCTTTGTTGTCCATATTCTTTAGTTTTTCCGTTTTTCTTATTTCTTTTATGTTATTTTGGATATTTTTGTAATAATAGCGGGTTTTCCCGTTTATTTTTGGATTATTATTGGCCAATTCATGTATTGGAAAGACAAAAAAAAAATGATTACATTCAATTTGACCTTTTTTGTTTAATAAATATAGTATGATTTCATCTGTTTTACTACATATCTTTACAAATGTTTATTTGCAAATACCTATGCGAGTAAATTGTGATGTGCCTAGAATTAAATTTCTTGCTAGAAATTTCGGTAACATACTTATTACAGAGACATATATATATATTATATGTCTCTGCTTATTATATATTACTATGTTGTAATGTTACACTACTATTTTAGGTTAGGGTGAAGTATGGCGCCTGTTAAAAATGAAAGTTTTGAATTACCAAATATTCTCATATTAAGTACATCTGTCTTTTTTTTATTATTATCGCCAGTCTTTAGAAAATAAGATCATGTATATATCATTTTCTGATAAAATAAGAGATTTTGTCAAGATTAAGACCGGTAACGTTTGAGCACTTACATAAAAAATATTGATCATTAAGCTTGTTATCAAATTGTCGAAGCCAATACTTGCCAATCGCATTCCAGCTTTCTAATGGTTCATGAAAAATGCGATAAATAATAATATACTTTATTTTGAAACACTCAGACACATATTTACATGTGTAACAAGAGGCAAAATACATAATCATATTTATGGTTGCGACAAAACAATGTTAACGTAATCATATAATTTAGAGTATAATTACAATATTTTAACTAATTTTTTAATGAACTGTGATAAGTTCTTTATAACTTTGATATTACAAAATGAAAGCAGTCAGTTCATTTTCTCAATACATGGATACGTGCGGTAATATTCTGAAATATGTTTTTTTCTTATATTTTTAACAGTAACAGACTGGCACTCAAATGGATAGCGAAACTCATTTCCAATTGAAAAGGAGCAGAGATGACACTGTCTTTCATCTCTAGGAATTCCATTCCATGAGATGACACTGTCTTTTATCTCTAGGAATTCCATTCCATGAGATGACACTGTCTTTCATCTCTAGGAATTCCATTCCATGAGATGACACTGTCTTTCATCTCTAGGAATTCCATTCCATGAGATGACACTGTCTTTCATCTCTAGGAATTCCATTCCATGAGATGACACTGTCTTTCATCTGTAGGAATTCCATTCCATGAGATGACACTGTCTTTCATCTCTAGGATTTTGAAAAGACCGTAATATTCCCCCTCGATGAGTTTTGGATTTGAGTGTGCCACTGTTGGATGAATTCATCTGTTAATCTTTACTTAATGTTCGATTTTATCTGAATTGGATAAAGAAACTTTTATTTGTATACTTCTAATTAACAAATCGATACTAATCATTCCATTCCACCCTTTGTTATCTCAAGACAACAACCCTGTCTTTCTATTTGGTTAACTTTCCAATCCCTTATAACATGTATAAAATTCCAAATAATATTGTTTATTTCTTTTGAATATTTTTCAAGAATTCCCCGCATTTCAATTTCATAAGAGCACATAGGCAATACGAAATGTTTTTCTATTAAAGTTTTACCACTAAATGAAAGTTTCCTGCTTTTCCACACGTGGACACATTTTTTTTTTATCTTTTCAATAATGCTTTGCCATATAGCATCATTATCAATATCATATTATTATTTACTCCGAGAGTTTTTACATTACCTGTTATCCATTTTAGTTTGTTAAATTTTAGCTTTTCCCTTTTAAGAGATCCTATAAGTAAACCTTTTGTTTTGTAATTTATTTTAGATCCCGAAGCTTTTTCATATAGTGTTAGGACATCAAAATAGTTTCTACTGATTTCTCATTTTTATTAAAAAGTTGTGTGTCATCAGCAAACATGCATAATTTAGTTTCAATACTTTTAACCCCCTCGCCAGTTATCTGAATCCCTTCAATTTTCTTGTTGCCTCGTATGGCACATGCCATTGGTTCTGCTTGCAAAATGTATATAAGGGGAACTATTGGACAACCCTGTCTGGTCAAACGAGTTCCCGAGAAATATAATTTGAAACATGTCAATTCGTTTTTATGCAAGTTACAGCTTCATAAAGAAACATTTTGATCACTTGTCTAAATTTTCCCTCAAAATTAAACTTTTCTAACACAAAATCCACCCAATCCATTTCAACCCTATCAGAGGCTTTTTGTTGGTAAAAAATATTATTATTCCATCTTCGTCTTCGTTGTCTATATAGACTATTATATCCTGAATTAATCTGTTAGCATCACTAATGTTTCTATCTTGAACAAATCCTTTTTGATCTGGATGTATTATTTTTGGTAAGACTTTTTTCAATCTCATTGCAAGAAGTTTTGCTATGATTTTATAATCGGTGTTAAATAAGGGAAGAGGTCTCCAGTTTTGAATATTTTCTCTTTTACCACCCTTATGTAATAACGGAAGAACCCCTTTATGTTGAGATTTACTAAAACATTTCTGCTTAAAATTTCCCTAATGAGTTTAAAAAAATCGTTTTTTATTATATCGCAATACAAAATGTAAAATTCCGATATTATGCCATCCTCACCTGGTGATTTGTTGGTCTTGAGAACTTTGAGCACTTTTTCTAATTCTTCAATACTTATATTACTTTCAAGCATCTCCTTATCGTCGGAACTTACCTTATTTTCAATAAATTGGCAAAGCATTTCACCGCACTGTTTGTCCAACCATTCTAAATTAAAAAGTGTGGAATAAAAATTTACTTGTTCTTTTAATCTCGAATCAATATCATATTTATGCATACCCGTTTCTGTTTTTATACGATTCCACAATTGGTTTTGACCAATTTTCTTTTCTAAATTAAAAAATAAAATATTTCGTAGATTTTTCACCTTCTTCTTCCCATTTAACTTTTGCTCTGGTTTTCGCAGATTCTGTCAAATTTGTATAAACATCCTTTAGTTCACGTTCAATTTCAGTTATTCTAAAATTGGTAATATTTGTTTTTTTCCTTTACATGTACTAATTGTAATGCTTCTGTAACGGGTCTTTATTCTGTACGTTTTGTGACTACTCATTATTTCGGATCTATGTATCCGGGATCGTAATCCATGTTGCCCGTTAACATAGGGAACTAGCTAATGTAAAGTTTCTCCGTAAGCTCCCTTAGTACTGTCTATCATAACGAAGTCTGTTTAGCTGAGAGTTGGCCTGAACATAAAACGTTTTTTGAATATTTATATAATGTTTTTTACAAATATCTTACCAAGATGTTTTAAGAATATTGGGAAGACATCCATAAAACATTGTTGAAATATTTAATTTACATTTTCAAGAGATATTTCTACCTAAACTTGCCTCTGATATTTTAAAAACATTTGGTAGACATCCATAAAACATATTATAGACATGAAAAGGATATTTTTGGATAACGTTTGATATATATGTTGTCTGGATATTTTCCATCGACACTGAATGATATCAAAATTATGTTATTTAAATATAAAATCAAAATATTTTAAAAAAAATGTTCTTTAAACATTCAGAACAAATATCTGCAGAAAATATGCTATACACATGAGTACAGCCATACATTTCACGTCAAAACAATATTTCTGAATGATATTTTTGTGACATTTTGCAATATATTTTAAAAATATCAATAAAATGTTTTTGTGCTACCTGGGAACCTGGTTTGTTTCAAGTTATTGTATGTGTAGCTCAATTTACAGAATGTTCGTGCTTTAACCGTCAAGTTAAGAGCAATTCAATTTACCAAATGATCATAAAATTGAAAATAATTTAACATATACTAGTACTCTAAATTCCTGTTGTTTATTTTCCTATTCATTTATTTGAACGTTATTTTTCACTTGTTTTGATAATGAATTATATAAATATTTTGGTTTATTTTCAAGTAACCGTATTTTACCTCGTTGTACACTTGTCGCATTATTATTGTGTTTATTTCAGCCTCTTCGTATTGCCTCAGTTTTTACTATCACATGTATGGTAAACATACCGGAGATCTAGCAGTGTACACAGAAGAACGTGACACAGGCATGTGGTCGACTCTTTGGGATAAATCCGGCAATAAAGGAGATCAATGGATATATGCTAGTATGGATATTACTGGATATTCAGACCTTGTCGTAAGTATATGATAAGAATATCGGTTCTCTCTTCACATTGTTATACAACAGAAAACATGAAATACACATTCATTTGTTGTCGGTTTGTAGTTGTACTGCTCTTATGTTAGCTTATTAATATATGCACCGACCTTACATTAAACTTCGTGGCCCTTTGATTTCGGGAATTGATATAAAGTATCATATTTAAGAGGGAGAAACTGATTCAATCTAATTAAAATATAGAACTCGGATTTCGTTATACTACATACGTATGTAGTATAACGAAATCCGAGTTCTATATTTTACTTAGATTGAAACTGATTCATCATGGGTTTGTTTTGACTGTCAGTTTTGGAAAATATCGGGACTATTAAGTAGTAATATTCTACGCAAAAGTGTATGAATATTCTGATTCTAGTATCAATAAGATAGAAATTTTCTATAACGCCATCAGTATAACATTCTGGAAAAAGTAATTAAATTTAATAGGCCTCCTTCTCAATCAAATGCTTGTCCCATATTAGTGTAAAATCACCTAATCTGTTCCTAGCAGTGAGGGACATTATATTGCATATCGATAGCCTCAAAATGAATGCTACTTTTGGCACTGCTGTTGTTTGTTGTTATTTGATATTATTATATGGTTTGTGCCTTTGGTATCTTATTTGTAACCGTTTGTGTTTTTTTTACCGAAAAATTCGGGTACTAATTTGGGAAATACGGTGGCTGGTCAGACGGACGAGCGGCTGCAACTGTTGCCATGCGATAACTTGATAACCGTTCAAACAGTGCTTTTAAATTGTTATGTATTTATGTTGTTTCTTATGCTACAACGGAGGTCAAGTTCGATATTGACGATTTCCACTTTTGTCCGTCAGAATTAATGGTACTTGATTGATTGGAAAATGTTTATTTCCGTGTAGTAACTTGAGAACTATCCAACCAATGCTTTTCAGATTTAAATATTTTGTAACTGGTGACAAAGTGGAGGTCATAAATGGTGTTGACGATTTTCACTTCTGTAGCTCAGGAGTTATGGCACTTAATAGCTTTAAACGAGACATTAATAAATGTCAGTTTGACTGCCTGGTGTTGTAACAATGATTCTGCAGAATGATTCAAATGACGTTTACATATAGTTTTTTTTGTAATTTAGAAAACTAAAATGTTTATTTATGCATTGCAATTCCTAAAATACGGATAATACAATTAGTCAACTTCATAATATTCTACTTCATCGATGTTACATTTCCTTTTTCGAACCTAATATACTTTATCTTCCCTTCTCATTTTTACCTGTAGAGGTGTCCAGATACTTTCTGATATCGTTGATAAGTTTGCCCTTTATAATAGGGTGAATGTATAAAAGACAAGATTTTGTGTAACATGATTTTCCTTTACGCATGCCACAAATCTCCTTTTATGCATAGCAAGAAATACTTAATATGGCTACTCACCTGACCTAATCATATATTGGAACAACATTGCCAAATGATTTTTCCTATAATTTCAAAAAATGGTTGTCAATTAAAACCAGGTTAAATTGTGAATGCGTTATAATACCAACATTTTCTAAATAAGGTACGCAAAGACATTTCAAACTAATCAGAATGTAAAATATCAATTATCTAGAGTTACTGACTGAAACATTCAAAACTCAAAAAGTTGTGCAAGTTAATTAGAATCATAAATAATTAAAAAAAAAATGGATCCTCTCTGATAAAAAATAATCCTTGAAACCTATGCATTATTTTCCTCTCGATAAAGACTTAGTCTGCTTCAATGGCATCACATGTATCATATGTCTTATTATATTATTATGTATACCTCTTTTTTTCTGTATACCACTGTATCAACAATGGTTTTTTTTAGAATAATATATATATAGGTAATGACTTATTTGTACGAAACAAAAAAAGATAACACAAACTGTATTTCAAGTTGACCAGTAAAAAAGAACGTATTAAAAGTGTGAATGGCAATTAATTTCAAATATATATATATATAAAAAATTCTTTTAGTAATATTTTCTATGTATCGATATTTTTTTCAGATTGAAATCGAGGCTACGAAAGGAGGAACATGGAATAAGGGTGATATTGCAATTGATGATATAATGTTAAGTATCGGTTCTTGTAATTAGCTGTTCATTTTTCACACTACTCGATATTGCGTGAACTGAAAAAGGACATTGATTGACTACCGTTATCAAAATTATCTGTTCCAGAAATGTAACTAATAGTCTAGCTAATATTGCTCTATTCTTCTTTAAATCTTTTTTTAATATCAGAAGATGTATGATAAAAACCAATTAGTGACCGCTTTGAATAAAGTTATAAGTTTAAGAGTGTTAAATCACATTTTTCTTCATGTAGTTATTTTTGAGAGAAAACATATCTTATTAAATGTATTAAAAACTAATAAAAACATGTCCATTCAACAAAAGTGTTCATTCTGTAGAATAATCTCCTTGGACCATACCATCATTTGCGACACAGTGAACATATCTTTTGGTTTGATCAGCTCTTCAACGTTTGTTTAAGATTTTGGATTTTCAAACATTTGGGCCTTGAGCATCACTGAAGAGACATGAAATGACGAAATATGGTACCGTTAGTGTTATTTCTTTTTTTCATATGTAAACATCATTGAAAGAAAGTACTTGATGGCTTATTTCCAGACAAAAAATCACCATGCACTTTAAGAAACACAATACATCTCCAAAGTGAGGGTATCAACACAGATGATTTGGCTATTATTTTTAGATCCTTTTTGGTCATTTAGCTGTTCAACTGTTTCAATTCTTAAACATCCTTGGCTTTCAAATATTCGGTTTTGAGCGTTACTGATGAAGGTAAATCCAGAAAAGTGCTTTATTATGGAATTAATAAAGTGTTGTTTTCATTGTTTACATCACTGAGTTGATACTGCAATTGGTGTACTTATCTGTTCCCGAGGGTATCGTCGGTTTAGTAGTCATTACTTCGGTACTGACATGATTTATTACAAACCTTTCGCAAATTGTCCGTTGATGAATTTAGAAATTATTAAAGAAGTAAGGTTTTACCTCCCTAATGCAAAGTTGACCTTGGATATATTTTGCTATTATTTTAGGTCCTTTTGGTCGTATAGCTTTTCAACTATTTCGGTTCTTATACATCATTGGCTTTTAAATATTCAACTTTCAGCGTTTCTGATGAAGGTAAATCCAGAATAGCCCTTTGGATGCATTAAATTTATAAAGTAACGTTTTAATTTTTTAAAGAGAAGCAACATAAAAAAACAACAAAACAGAAAACTCGAATTAGAACAGATAAAAAATAAGAAGATGTGGTATGATTGCCTATGAGACAACTCTCCACAATAGACCAAATGACACAGAAATTAATAACTATAGGTCACCGTACGCGGCCTTCAACAATGAGCAAAGCCAATACCGCATAGTCAGCTGCAAAAGGCCCCGAAAAGACAAATGTAAAATAATTCAAACGAGAAAACTAACGGCCTAATGTATCTACAAAATTTATGTACAGATGTCTGAGTAAGCTCATTAGAGCAGCGTTTTAAGAACCAAAATAAAAAGATTTATTAAACTCGTAGTCGGGTGCATCCCCTTCTCGGTGACAGCAAACCATTCAGATCTCATAGATTTGGAGACAATTCTAATATGTATAACAACGGTACTTAATGTTGTTTTAAATATTTACTACTTTCCTGTATGTTCTTTTTTGACCGGGCCCGATTGGGTGGTGTTACATCTTACAAAGTCTATCCAAATTATCATGTTTTGCAAAGAATTCCGATCAAGCCGGTGCTAGGGGCCGTCTTAAACTTGCAGTGAGGTGAGAGTTTTTTTGCTCCGTGTTGAAGGCCTCACTGTGACTTTAAGATGAAGAACAGCAGTAAAAGCGCTGTTCCTTTGCTTTTGGTGTGTTTTTTGTTTGTTGTGCATGTACTGCATTTGTGTCATGGATAGATACCCCATATCCTTTGTTTTCTATAATACCAATAAAGCTATTGGAATTGCATATTTTACAAATGATGGAATCGATCGGCAAACAACCGATATTTTCATGTATGAACTTCTTGAAAATTGTCCAAAGTTAATCCATTCTGGTTATGAAATTTTACTTGTGGATGACTTTAACGGAAAATGTATCGAAAAGTGTCAAACCACAAACTTAAATATCATGTGTGAATTAGCATCCTATAATGGAAAAAGGCTTCGTCAGTTTATAAATGCGAGTGACTTACTTACTGTACATTGCCTCCCCATTAGTGAGGGACTTTTATTCGTATTTTGAATAACCAAAGGTCCGCAATCGATTACGTTCTTCTTTCTGAAGCCCTGATTTGCAACGTAACACGTGTTATAATAGATGAAAATGGCTTTTTTTATCTATACATAGTGATCATGTCATAAAACAAACCGAAATAAACACTAACACGCGGAAAATAAAAACGAACCTAAAAAACCTGCTTTTATTTGGAAAATAAACAACAAAACTGATTGGAATATTTTTCAAAAAACCTTAAAAGATAAATTTAGGGCATCTGAGCACACTATGAAAATGTCTTCGGACATCAATACAATTTGGGATCATTGGAACTTGAAAAGTCTGTCCGTGATGCTGTTGAATTTTCTATCGGAAAAGTTAACAAATCAAATCGGTATCGTAAGTTTTGGGACAACGAACTTGACATTTTGATTAAAAACAGAAGAGAAAGTAATCGCTTGAAAAGAATTCATGACAAAACACACGACTGTAATAGCGAGAATGGTAGGATTTTATCTGACATTTATCACGTGCGAAAAACTAAGGTCCAAGAAGCTATCAAAAGAAAAGCAAACACTCTGAAATTGAAAGAATTTCATGATAAATGTGTTAATTCTTCCAATAAGGTTAGAGGATTCTGGGATATTTTACAAGGCAAAAATAATAGTATTGCTCCTCAACAGATTATGAACCCCAAAAATAAGTCCAAACTATTTACGGAAGAGAAAGACATTAGTGCTGTTTTAGCTACACAGTCATTTTAAATCTTTCGGTAAGGATTCCCCAATCAAATGCAATATGCAAGATGAGGATAATGAATTTCTCTTGAGTATTGAACACGACGAAGTTCCTCCCGATTCGAATATTTCAGTAAATGTAGGTAGACCACAAATTGATCTAATTCTAAGGAGCCTTGCCTTAAGTCACATAAAGTTAGTGGCATCGATGAATTTCTAATTAATTCTTAATGTTTGGCAGGATGCGCTAGTTGATTCACTTGTTGATCGTTTCACCATAATATCTGACCTCGAAACTGTACCTGATGATGGGCAAAAAGGCATCATCAAACCCACACATAAATCAGGATCTGTTTTTGATTATGATAATTATAAAGGCATCACGCTTACTTCTAATGTATATATAGTATATTCAAATAATTTGGAAGAATGTGTAATGTCCTACTTGGAAAAAAATAATATTTAAGGCGAGTTCCAGGGAGAATTTAGTAAAAACAGAAGAACCAAGGACCATATTTTTACACTGCAAGGTATTTGTTCTATTCGTAAAGCTAAAAAACATAAAACGTTACTCGCTTTCCTAGACCTGTCAAAGGCTTTTGATAGAGTCTGGCGAGACGGCCTTTCTATAACTATTGTGGAAAAACGGTATTCAAGCCAAATGCTGGAAATTGCTCAAATCACTTTATAGCAATGTATCTAATAAAGTATTGTCACAGTTGGTGGTGCTAGTGAAACAGGTTTCTTCGGCCAAGAATTTGGCCTGAAACTAGGCTGTGTTTTGTCTCCAACACTGTTTTCTGTTTTAATGAATGACCTCGTAGGTATGCTTTGAAGCCAGTAATTTGGGCTTCGAGCTCTCCTCACAAATTTTGAACTGTTTAATGTTTGCTGATGATGTACTTCCGAGAAGGAACTACAGTGTTTTCTAGATATAACAGCCAAATTTGCATCAAAGTGGAATTTAAAGTTTAACCCAAACAAATCCAAGATTATGATAGTAGGTAAACGCTTAGATAAAACTAAGAAATGGCACCTAAGAAATGAGCATTTGGACGAGACTAATGAATATAAATATCTTGGGGGTTTATTTTACCCGCTCTTTGACTTTTGCTTACCATATCAATCATTTCTTAAAAGATATTTTCGAGTGCAAACTGAATTATATGACTAAGCTACTTAATGAGCACGATATTTTAATCGCATATCTTTTGGGGATGCTCTCTGGAACTCGGTTATCAGACCATCTCTAGCACACGGATATGCCGTACAGAGGCGGATTTAGGGGGCAGGGTGCCCGGGCCCCCCTTTTGTGGGAAAAATTTTGCTGATTATTTTAGGAATCACTGAAGCATGACTAAGCGAGCCCCCTCTTATGTCAGTCAGTGCCCCCCCCCCCCCCCCCCCCCTTTATGAAAATTTCTTGATCCGCCACTGCCGTATGGCTACCGTCATCCGCTTCAAGTCACCAAATACTTGAAACATGGCAATATATATAAAACGGCTAAACTGTTTTTAATGCCAAGATTAATATCTCAAAAGCTGCTCTTTTCCTAGACTTGGGATGGGAGCCAATATACGATTTTCTTGATAGACAAAGGATGTCTTATTTTGTAACTCTTAGTTCAATTTATATTTTGAAGTTCTACATAATATGTAATTGCATACATAACTTGACACATTCAAAATCACTTTTAATAGCATTGTCTTGTTTGAAGAGACAAGATTTCCAATTTCACGATCAATGTCACACAGCAGAGTCCTCAGCTTTATAATAAACCATTTTCTCACAGCTTGCGAACGACTTCAATGTAGCATAAAATTCAACGTCAACCATACACAACGGACGTATCGCCGACAATACTTCATACTTCATCTGCTTAGATTTGATTGCAGTATATATATACACTCCTTTTAATAATCTGGCTTTAACATTAGCTTTCATAAGAGAAGTACAATCAAATCCTGTATTTGCCTTTATATCACGTGCAGTGCCAAATTTCATTGACTGCGTATGGTTTTTCTTCTGCCATTTTCATTGTTTTCTCTTTCAAAAAAAATTATATTCTCTTTCTGACATAGTTTGTCCAACCTTTTTTTATCCGGTATAGCTTAGAATGTTAAATATGGATTCAGAGTAACAACTCTACCATCTTTTGGGCTAAGTGACCATGATATTGGCCATGCCGAAGCAAACATCTGGCTTAAGAGGATTAGAGAAACACCACGTAAAGTGTACAAGTACAACAAGGAACACTGGGAATCCATCAGATTAGACCTAGAAAAAAAATCACACACAGATCTGTTAAATATTTATCTAACTACAAATGTAAACAACCTTTGAGAACTATTTAAAACAAAACCCACTGAATCAGCGGAATCAAACATACCATCAAAAATGCTATCAT